CTAATGGCTCTGTGCTCAAATATTGTGGTTCTGTGCTGACTTCCACAAAATGTACCTTAACTGTCATGGACTCTTCACAATTACATTCTGGACAAAAAGAAAAAGGTCCACAGAGATGGCGGTCAAGACAGACCTACTGCAGACACTTGTGGTGAAGACTTGCTGGAAAATGAAGTTTGACATGATTTATAATTACATCAACATTCACAGAGGCCGAGAGTCAGAGGCAAAAGGGTGCAATATCACCACGAGAAATCTTTTCACATTTCCCAATTAATTTTATGTAGTCAGTAAGTCACCAGGAAAAAAACAAACTTGTTCTTGTCAAGCAGAATTTTTAAGTCCAATCAATCAGAGTCTGGTCTATCTTCCTGGGTCTAGGGCCGGGTCCTTGCTAATGACATGTCCAAATTACGTGAAATGAAATCTCACCATCCTTGCTCCCAAAGTGCCTTTTAGCTCTACTTCTTCCAACACAAATGTGTTTATTGTTCTGAAAGTCCAGAGTGTTTAATATTCTTCACCGGCACCATAAACCAAAGCCATCGAGTGTTCTTCTGCCTTCTGTATTCATTGTCCAGTGTTTGCATGCATATGAGGCTGCTGAAAACACAATGACATCTTTGTTTTTTTAACACATTAAAGAGGTCTTCTGCCCAAGACTTTCTCAGTGCCGTCTGCTACTTAATGTTCTGATTACTGCTATCCTGGAGATTAACTATGGGTCAAGTACAATGAAATCCTCAACAACGTCCATATTTTCCCATTCATCATATTGTTTAATAAGTTAAAAATCAAAGATGCCTCTTCGACAACTAAGGTATCTATGACTGGGCCACAATATTTTCAATCTTTTCTTACTCAAGCAAAAGCTGAATGAATAAGGAAGTGTGGTAGTTACATAATCTGTTGTCAATTTGAGAGGATTAAGAGTGCAGGGTGGAGTCTAGCCTGTGAATCAGGTCATAACTTGATGACCTCATCTGCAGGCGATAAGGAGATAAACAGCTCACTGGAGGTGGGACACACACGCTCCCTGCAAGACATTTCTGATGAGAAGCCACATGAAGCTACCCTGATACAACCAGAGCCCTGGGAGCTGGAGGAGCCATGTGGAGACCCCTGCCAGCACTGAGATGCTTACACTGCCACTAAATCCACAAGACCTTCCACCTACTGGCCTGTGCTCATCCTGCATTTGGTGTCACTGCATGTGTTTCATGAGTCTGAAGAGGACTTTATAGATTGGTATTGGACACATGGGCTAATATCGGACTTATGGACTTGATCTGGACTGGGCTGGGATGTCTCCTCAAAATTCAACTTCTCGTATATAAAGCTCTTTCTTATACACATATGAGCGTTTATGAATTTGTTTCTCTAGTCTACCCGGACTAACATGGGAAGACTGAAGAAAGATTGATGCTGGGCACCATCTAGTTTCTCCACTACACTTTGCTAGAGCACCCATATCTTCAGTGATCTCTTCATGAGGGTGATCATCAAGCAGGGCCATGTCATAAGACGTAATTAGTAGACTGGGGTATAATTAAGTGGAAGCGCCAAACCCATTCATGCAGCTAAATGTTTATATATGTCTCTGGTTTACCTTAGAGACATCATTGTCATTTTATATGAAAGAACATTATCAATCATCCCCCAGGGGCATAAGATAATTCTACTGTAATGTCATTAATTTAGCCAGTGGTATAGAACGTAAAATACTGCTGAGAAAAGGACATTATAAATATAGGCTGGCTATGAACCGCAATACATAAAATGTTGACTTGTGCAGATTAAACTCTTAAAGGGACTGGACACTACACAAACAATGGGGTCTGGGGAGAGGGCAAAATTTTCAATAATATTCATTCACAACGGGAGTACCATACCTACCAGATAAATATATGTGATAATAAAGCAAGGAAGACATCAAAACAGTAAGTAAATGGTAGTCCCGGGCCACCATTCATTGGGCACCATCAAGGCAAGAGACCAGAACAAAAGTCCAGTGACTGCCAGTTCTACACCCGTGGCTTGCAGTCATCTGCTTCTTCTCACACCCTTGCACTGTCTTGTGATGCTTTCTGCATCATTCAATATTTGCCTACAGAATCCTTCAACATTTCCACTCAAGGCTTGAAAACCACCCCCCCACCACCACCAGTTTTTGCAGCTTGAGAAAGGCTGAATGTGCTTTCCTGCCTTCAGTTTTCTAACTCCAGGCCTTTCTACATTTCATCATAATGCTTTGTCCTCTCAAGCTGCCCTTTGAAGTCTATTCAGCTCTTTTAGGGTCACCATTTTTTCTGGTGGCTTTGGTTTCTACATTCACAAGCAAGTTTCAGAGTCTCTTCTGACATCCATGTTGGTCTTTCCTTTCTTCCCGGTCTTTTTAAGGACCTATTGCTTTCTTCATGTGTGATATCCTTAGTGGGGTCCTACAATTTGGCCTTTGATCATTAATGTGCCAAATCTATTCTTTGGAGATGGTCTCTGTGTTAGTCCGGATTGACTAGAGAAACAAATTCATATGTGTATAAGAAAGAGGTTTATATACAAGAGCAACTGAATATTAAGAAAACATCTCAGCAGAGTCCAGATCAAGTCCATAAGTCTGATATTAGCCCATGTGTCTGATGTCAATCTATAAATTCCTCTTCAGACTCACAGAACACATGCAATGACACTGAATGCAGGAAGATCACAGGCCAGTGGGTGGGAAGTCTTGTGGATCCAGTGGC